GACCCAAGGTGAGATCTAAAACCTGCAGGACACCGGCCCTCGGGGCCTGGAATTGCCCACCCCTGGTTTACAGGCAACAATCTGTGAATTGTAATGGCTCCTATGCTTCATGGCCTACTTTCTGAAGGGCGTTGCACTTGTTTGAATACTTTTGCTTTCTGTATCGTTTTTTTTTTTTTTTTTTTTGAGCTAACACAAGTCAGTTGCGACGACTTTTTATGACTTATGTCTGACTGATGTCATTAGAGAATTAAAGTGTGACCGTTTCAGACGGGCTCATCAAACCCACAGTGAAGAGAGAGCTTTTTGCTTAGTTTTAAACACGTCTTTCACTTTTTATGTCAAGAATGCATATAGTTAGAGACATCCAGACTTGACACAACACGTTAATCACAGCATTGTGTTAGAAAATTAAATATTACACTTTAGAAGGTCACAACTGACTTGGTGTCTTCAACCTCGTAATTTTAGTTTCCTCAGGAAACAAATTCTTAAAATGGTGGAACATTTTCTGCTTTTCTAAACCTGAAGTTCCCTGTAGTGGTTCACTTCATTTCTGAGGCTTATCATATGGACAATAAGTGCCTGATATATATATTTTTAAATTTATTTTAATGATGCAATTACCATAACAGTATATACTCTATTTGTAGCATTGAACCTGGGCACAGTTTTCGTTTTGTTTTTAAGTTTTAGTTATATTTATTTCTTCTTATCTCTCTCTTCTTTCAGTCTCAGCCACCCCCCCCACCTCACACCCAGCACTATGCACCTCCTGCCCAGCACTATGCGCCTCCTTCCCACCACATGCCCGTCAATGTCCCATTTTCACCAGGCCCCCCCAGCATGATCTCTGCCCTCAACGATGGCCCAGCAGAGCGCCGTGTCATTACGCTTCCGCCAATAAGGGAGTCGCAGTTAGGTAGAGTTCCACCTCCTGCGCCCAAGACCCGGCCACCGAGTTCCAGCGAGAGCAGCCGCAGTGGCTACACTCGTCGCGACGAGCAAGGGGGAGCGGGCAGACGTTACCCGTCACCTACCAGATCTAGAGGTATTCCCCGGAGCTACAGCGAGGAGTCACTGGATGGGCGGGGTCGCAGCCGGGCACGAGAAGGCATGGACCGCCCTCGATCCCGTTCCAGGGATGACTTGTTTGACAGCAGGTCCAGAGGGAATTACTCTCCCCCAGCAGCACGACACTCGAGGAGAGGGTCCTGGAGCTCAGATGAGGGAAGCAGCAGAAGAGGGGCGGTGGGAGGTGCAAGGAGAGGAGGTGGAGGCTGGTCCGATAAACCTCCCAGTTACACAGAGTACGAGCCGGGACAGAAACCAGGAGCACGAAGAAATGATTATTACTCTGTAAGGAATACTTTGCTTTAGTTTGCAAACTTGCAAGTACACCAATGCACTTGTATCACACATTTCTCAAACATGCAGTCACTATTATAAATAAAACCTCTGTTTGCTAGTGCAGTGAATCTAAAGTTAGTATGTCTCTCTCAGGACAAGGCGTCTCGCAGTGGCAACAGCATCGTCATCTGAGCCCTCCATCTGCGAAACACACTGACCTCTGTTTCAGAGAGCAAGCCAACTCATTAGCCTGTTGTCTGGCTCTGGGTAAACCCTTTATATGCCCATATATATATATATATTTTTTTTAATCTGTGAATCGACTAACTCTTTGTACATCTGATGAAGGACAAACTCTGAGATTGAAAAATCCAGATATTCGTCATGCTTTCCCCTCATACAGGTGGATAGAGGTCAAATGGCTCATGAGAGAAGGGAAACCTTTTAAATTAAATTAAACCAAATGATGATTGTAACTCTGAAGAAATTGTGGTAATACTCCCCTCGGCTGGTTTGTTAGTCTAAAGAAATTATTCAGAAGGAAATTTGGACTAAAAGCTTGTTGCGTTTTTTGTTTTTTGTGCTGAAGCTCTATTTATTTGGTAGTTAATTCTAATAAGGGATAAAGTCATGAAACAAACGCTACAAGGTGCAAAAGAAAAGTCTCTCAGGGTGAGTAAGCATTTTTGTTTTTGTTACATTATAATTTATAGTTTAAACCACATCAATATGATTACATTTTATGCTTTTGTTAAATCACAAAATATTGCTTTCACATCTCCATAATGTCTTTAGTGTCTTTTGTATTTGCTATATTTTAAAATAAAATGCATACATTACTTGGCTATGGTTAGAAAATGCATGTGTACATAACTTGTATCTCGTTGATACTAGGAGTAAATTAGTCATACAGTCAGTGGAGTGACGGACCTTTTTGATTCATTCACTGTTATTACAAGCTATTTTTTCTCTTTTTAAAAAAACTGTACAGTTACTTTGTCATAGTACTTCAATAAGTCTTTGACATCTGGGGTACAACGTACCTGTGAGTTGCTCTTCTTCCTGTTTGACCTTTGAGCAACTTGATAGTCGCACATGTTGTGTCGATAAGGGCTTCAAATCTTAGCGATATTCCACATGTAGAGAGAAATCATCAAAGTAGGTTGCCATATCTTATCACACTGCCACTGTTTTCTTGACAGCCATAGTTTTTAATATTCTGAACTATTTGCATATCTAAATATAGCCTAAAATGCAAAAGCAATATCAAAGTATGTATCCAAAACCTATAAATTATCAGACATCGACTATACACCCCAAAACGATTCACAGTAGAACTGTAAAATAAAGCCTAAATATGATGCAAATTAAAGCTGATGGCAGGACAGTTTATGTAAAGGTCAAGGTGTTGCAGGAGAATTATAGTTTTGGGGTGTTTTTTTTTTGTTTGTTTGTTTGTTTTGTTTTTGTTTGGTGGCTTTTCACATACTGGCAAAGCAAGTCAGTTGTTTTTGCGCTTTAATGTAGATTTTTTTTTTTTGTCTTAATGTCATTTTCAGCTGGGTTTCTTTTCTTTTTCTGTTATATGGTGCTTTTATTTTTTTTATTTTTTTAAATGAAACTGTTTTCTGTAAAGTCATTGTACAAACCTACTTCCCAAAAATTGGGAACCTGTGTAAAATGTAAATAAAAATGAGAATGTAAGACTTTGGAAATCTCAAAAGTTTTTATTTTATTCAAAACAGAACACAGAAAATGTGAAATGTTTAAACTAGGACACTTCACCATTTCATGGAAAACATGAGCTCATTGTCAATTTGATGGCAGCAGTTCATCTCAGAAGTGCTGGGACAGGGGCAACAAAAAACTGAAAGTAACTCGCACTAAAAAGAAACAACTGGAAGAACAGCTAATTAGGTTATTTGGCAAAAAGGACAGTAGCAAAGTTAAATGTAAAATAATATGTATTTTTCTCAGATTTAAAAGTGCATGAGGTTTTTTTTCTTTTCTTCCGGTTTACACTGTCTTTGTTGAAAGTGCACATGATGGAGCTGAACTGAGAAACCAGACGCTAATTATACCTGCTTCTGTTAATGAGGCAAACACAAACAGCACTTCTGAATGCACTATCATTATCACTGTTTCAGCAGCATGCCCTAATGCAGCCACACAGTGGTTTCTCAAATACTGTTTATCACTTGATGCTCTTGTTGTACACTTACCAGCCAATTTACCAGTTACATCTGGCTAGTAATGGGTTGAAGCCCCTTGTGACTTCAGAGCTGACTTAATTCTTCATAGCATAAATTCAGAAAGGAGCTGGAAACATTCCTCTGAGAGTTTGCTCCATACTGACATGACAGGATCACACAGTTGCTGCAGCTTTGTTAGCTGCTCATCTAAGATGGGACTCTTTTGTTCTACCCCCTCCAACAGGTGCTCTACTGGATTGAGATCTTTTGACGGTGAAGGAGTACAGATAACTCATTTTCATGTTCAGTAAACTAATTTCAGATGATTTGAACTTTGTGACATGACACGTTGTCCTGCTGCAAACAGCCATTAGAAGATTGGCATTGTGGGGTCATAAAAGAACGAACATGGTCACAAACAATACTCAGGCAAACTGTAGTATTTAAACAATGCTGAGTCCAAGAGGTCCAAAGTGTGCCAAGAAAATATCCTACACCACTAGACCATTATTAGCCTGAAGCACTGATGCAAAGCAGAATGGATTTATGTTTCATGTTGTTTATGCTAAATTCTCCTAACATTTAGTTGTCTCTGCAGAAATTCAAAACAAAACAAAAACTTCAGACCAGGCAACAATTTTACAATCTTCTCTTGTCCAGTTTTGGTGAGCCTTAGTGAACTGTAGCCTCAATTACCTGTTCTTAGCTGACAGGGGTGGTACCAGGTGTGATCTTCTACTGCTGTGTACAGGCAGAAGACCACACCTGGTGATGCAGAGATGCTCTTCTGCATACCTTGGTTGGAACAACTGGCTCTTTCAACCATTGTTGCCTCCTCAAAGCAGTCTGGCCATTCTCCTCTGACATCAACAAGGCATTTTCACCCAGAGAACTGCTGGTCACTGGATATTTTCTCTTTTTTGAAACCACTCTCTGTAAACCCTTGAGATGTTTGTGTGGGCAAATCCCAGTAGATAAACAGTTTCTGAAATACTGCGCTAAAGAAATTGCACACACATAATTATGCAAAAAACATTAAAAAGTAATGTGGTGCCAGCAAAAAGACGTATTGTTCAAAGTCACTTAAATTACTTTTATTATGGTGAATATGAATTACATTCTTAGAAAGATATATTTAATCTCGATTTTTTTCTTTCTTTTTCTCTTTTGAAATTGTATCTTCAATCGCAATTCCATAATTTATTATTATTGTTATTTATGTATTTTACCATTGTAGGGCAGTAGGAGAGACAGCTGAATAGTTTGTCACTACAAACAACAGTATGGGCAGTAAAATCACGTGCATGCGAAATGTTCTGATAGTATAGTACATGAGTGAAGTGCAGCATTGAGATGATCACTAAGAATAAAAGATGAAAAAACGATGCACTGACTCCAGATCAGCTTTTTTTGTAAGTTTTTTTTTTTAATCAAACTGCGACTGTGCAGCTTGCTTAAGTCGCGCGCTGATGACGACACGCGCAGAGGCGGTGCGGGTTTGCCACGTCGGTCTCTGTGCAACGCATTTACACTGTTGCTCTTCCAGCCCAGGGCTAACTTTTTGTGGCGTTTAGTGCTCTCACCCTGAGAAAAGGCGACCCCCCCGGTGTCGCCCTCGCCGCTGTAGCCCGTCGCCACAGCAGCTCAGTCCAGGGAATTGAAGCTGAAAGGCGGAGAAATGCTCGGTACTGCCCGGACTCGCCGCACAACTGACTGATGCATCCTCGTCCAGCTCAGCCGCCCGCATGTTGTCGATGTTTTGTGAGTAACGACGGCTTTTACACAGCTTTTAAACTGTCCACGTTTGCCACCGAGCTAAAAGCTATTGCCTGTGTCCGTTTTAGCGCTCTTTTTAAAGTGCGCTCCCAAGTTTCCGCAGTCTTAAAAAATGACAACGCCGCCTGATGTCATGATCCAGACGAGCAGCTTTCAGTGCACGTCTTAGCAAGTCTAACACCCCCCCAGAAGAACAAAAAAATAAAAACCCAAAACACCGTCTCACAAAATGTTGTGCAGAGTGCAACAAAAGCATTTCACAATTATAAGGAGTCGCGCTTAAAGTAAGAAACACGTTGCACTTCCACAAAATTGCTAAACACCATCCTGCAATCCCTTCATTGTAGTTCATTTCTGTACGCCTCAGTTCCCGTTTTCACTTTTGGCTTCTTTTTTTTCGAGTTGTCATCTTGCGTCCCTGCGCTCTGTTTGAGTCGCGTGTGCGTGAGTTAACGTCGGTTTCCTGTTTGTACAGTCAGCTCCAGTGCTCGATATTGATGCCGCACAGTGGCCTGTGAGCAAGCTGTTTTATCTTTTCCATCATGTTTCACAAGCTCCATCAGCATAAAGGAAATGTTGGTATACATAGAGGCTGCTGCTTATCTGGCTCTGGTTTAATTTTCGTTTAGAAGTCTGTCACTGGTTGATGAGAAACTACTGTGTGTGTGTGTGTGTGTGTGTGTGTGTGTGTGTGTGTGTGTGTTTTAAGTCACTGGGTAATCATAAGAATCTATATAATGAGAGTGACAAGGATTTGAGTTGTAGCTACACTTCCTGGAGGTTTGTATGTTCTGTTGTTTGCAGCCCTGCAACAAGCAAACAAGAAAATAATGGGGGGAAAGTCTCAAGTGTCTCTTTTTATTGTAGGTTAGCATTATTTTAGTTTTTAGTACGCGTTTCATGTTTTACAGTATATCTATAATGGTGAGTGAACAGGCTCACACATATACCCAGCCTGTTTTCTACTCATAAATGCCACCATACCTTTGACAGAAGAAGGAAAAACAAAACGCTGAAACCCTCAGAATCATATGAATGCTCTCACTGGCCGCTTCATTAGGAACACCTGTTCAACTCCTTGTCGACAGAAATATCTAATCGCTCAGATATTTAATCAAAAAATCTAAGCAGTCCGTCACAGGGTGGTAACTCTGCATTTAGTTGTGTAGATATGATCGAGACGACCTGCTGAAGTTCAAACCATCAGAATGAGGAACAAAGATGATGATGAAAGTAGCATGGTTGTGCCAGACAGGTTGGTCTGAGCAATGGAGAAACTGCTAATCTACTGGGATTTTCCCTCATAACCATCTCTATGGTTTACAGAAAATGGTCAGAAGAATAGAAACTTTCTAGTGAGTGGCAGTTTTCTTGTGAAAGATGCCAAGAGTGGAGAATGGCCAAACTGCTCTGAGCTGATAGGAAGACAACAGTAACTTTAAAAAATAGCTTGCTCCAACCAAGATGTGCAGAAGAGCATCTCTGAACACCTCCAATCTTGAAGCAGATGGGCTATGGTGGCAGAATACCACACTAGGTGCTGTTTCTGTCAACTGAAAACAGGAAACTGATGTGTAATGGTGTGTAGGGTATTTGCTTGCTGTACTTCGGGCCTTTTAGAACCAGCTGAGTATTGTTGCTGAACTTGTGTATGCCTTTATGATCACAGTTTGGCCATCTTCTGATCACATTGAGTTCACTGTGCACAAATGATCTCCACAGTCTCCAAATCTCAGTCCAGTTGAGCATCTTTGGAACGTAGTAGAAAGGAAGATTTGCGTTATGGATGTTCAGCAGACAAATCTGCAGCAGCTATGTGATGCTGGCATGTCAGTTTGGATCAAAATCTGAATCTCTCATGCACCTTGTTCAATCTGTGCCATGAAGAATTATGTCAGTTGTGAAGGCAAAGGAGTGTCCAACCCAGCGCTAGTAAGGTGTACCTAATAAAGTGACTAGTAATCACGAGATAAAACGGCAGCAAATTCTTAAAAATCTGGAACTGACTACAAATTATTTAAATTATTAAGCTGTTAAAAGTGTCTTACATTGAATTCCCCTTTTCTTTTATAGAATATACGTGAAGTTATTGCACTTATTGCACTTTACTACATATAAATTGCTACTGTTGGTTAGTGTGAACATCTCCATTAAGAATAGGTGAGTCTGAAAAGTATGATATGCGATATGACCGAAATCTCATATCCCGATATAAGAATTCTATCATCCCGATAACAATAAAAATCACAAAAATGTAACATTTTCTGTAAATTCTGTGAATCTCGGGCAGCTCAACTTGCGTGAAGTGTTTCCAGCTGCGCGTCCTTTACCCGGAGTCGAGTGTTTTAACCGATGCATGAAACTATACATTTTTAGACATAAGTTGTAACGGCCGCCGTTTTCTTTGTATCTATTACACGGCGTGCTGCGGGGGAAAGCCTGTTCTAACGTTTGAGTCTAAGGTTTATTTTTTTTAGCACCTGGCGGCTCTTTTTTAATTCTCATCCGTAAATAATCTGCTCTTTCACGTGATTCAGTTTATTTTGAAAAGTCTCAACAGGATCTTGAGCTTTATTGTGAAAGGTTTATGTGGAACATAATTCAAATATTTATTTAATATTTATAAAAATGAACCAGTTACAACTTTTTGTATGTGACCTGTTTACTGTTTTAAATGTAGCCTTACAGATATTCAGTTTATGGCACAACTCTTTGGTTGACATGACTTCAGAGATCCTGGAGATTTGTGGAAAACGGTTGCGAAATTGTTTTTAAAACACACACACTCGCGCACACATGCACTTTAAAAAAAAAACCAAAACAGACAAACAAAACAAAGTGACTCTTGCGTGCTCCCACTTCAGATTTTAATCCTTTAAATATGGAACCGTTTAAACTTTAAATTTAAAATAAGCTGTGTGTCTGTGGACTTCTGTTTTATAAATGTGTGCTGCAGAGCATCAGCTAGCTGACCTATTACCACAGCTCATTGGGCACCTTGATAGAAAAAGCTCAGGTGTAATCAGTAACAGTCTGTGAATTAGGCCAGATATGAGTAAGCACGGGGACATTTGTTTGTGTTCTCTAAAGGAGCAGAGAGCAGGTTTTGTCTGGCAGGTTGTCATTTTCTGTGTATATCAGTCTCACTAAACACGTTTGCACACACCCTCAGAGGTGTGTTAGCATTTTGAATTCTTTGGCATGAAGACACTTAAAAATCCCTCTGTAAACGCCTCTGGGCATTTGTTTCCCAAAATCAGCGTAAGCATGCCCAACTGCTTACGTTCAGGTTTTCTTGTCTGTGGAGTCAGAGAGCAATGACGGGTCTTTTTGCCTTTCTTAACAGGGAGTTTGACAGGAGAGTGTAGCCTCTGAAAAGATAAAGGGGATCTCTGTGTCTATTTCTATAGCCGCTTTTACATAGACTGGAGATGAAATGGGCAGCATCTCAAAATTCGAATCGAGAAGTCATCTAAAGTTTTTTTTTTTCCTTTTTTCCCCACATCCTACACAAAGCATGTAAGTAGAACGTGCAGGAGGACACTTGCTGTGGATTCACAGGACTTTTACCTGCTCTGTCCTCACATGGATGATCAGTGGGACCTCACACAGACTTTGCACTAGTTAAACTCCCTTTGAAGGCTTATCCAGCTGAGTAAGACATTTACATTTTTACTACTAGATAGTGCCAACAAGATTTGCAGACTGCAGAGCATGTGTACTGTTTTCTGTGCAGATGACTCTGTATGTGTGTATATTAGGCAAACCAAGGTTAAAGCAATTCAGCAGCCCTACTATACAGGGAGTGCAGAATTATTAGGCAAATGAGTATTTTGTCCACATCATCCTCTTCATGCATGTTGTCTTACTCCAAGCTGTATAGGCTCGAAAGCCTACTACCAATTAAGCATATTAGGTGATGTGCATCTCTGTAATGAGAAGGGGTGTGGTCTAATGACATCAACACCCTATATCAGGTGTGCATAATTATTAGGCAACGTCCTTTCCTTTGGCAAAATGGGTCAAAAGAAGGACTTGACAGGCTCAGAAAAGTCAAAAATAGTGAGATATCTTGCAGAGGGATGCAGCAGTCTCAAAATTGCAAAGCTTCTGAAGCGTGATCATCGAACAATCAAGCGTTTCATTCAAAATAGTCAACAGGGTCGCAAGAAGCGTGTGGAAAAACCAAGGCGCAAAATAACTGCCCATGAACTGAGAAAAGTCAAGCGTGCAGCTGCCAAGATGCCACTTGCCACCAGTTTGGCCATATTTCAGAGCTGCAACATCACTGGAGTGCCCAAAAGCACAAGGTGTGCAATACTCAGAGACATGGCCAAGGTAAGAAAGGCTGAAAGACGACCACCACTGAACAAGACACACAAGCTGAAACGTCAAGACTGGGCCAAGAAATATCTCAAGACTGGTTTTTCTAAGGTTTTATGGACTGATGAAATGAGAGTGAGTCTTGATGGGCCAGATGGATGGGCCCGTGGCTGGATTGGTAAAGGGCAGAGAGCTCCAGTCCGACTCAGACGCCAGCAAGGTGGAGGTGGAGTACTGGTTTGGGCTGGTATCATCAAAGATGAGCTTGTGGGGCCTTTTCGGGTTGAGGATGGAGTCAAGCTCAACTCCCAGTCCTACTGCCAGTTTCTGGAAGACACCTTCTTCAAGCAGTGGTACAGGAAGAAGTCTGCATCCTTCAAGAAAAACATGATTTTCATGCAGGACAATGCTCCATCACACGCGTCCAAGTACTCCACAGCGTGGCTGGCAAGAAAGGGTATAAAAGAAGAAAAACTAATGACATGGCCTCCTTGTTCACCTGATCTGAACCCCATTGAGAACCTGTGGTCCATCATCAAATGTGAGATTTACAAGGAGGGAAAACAGTACACCTCTCTGAACAGTGTCTGGGAGGCTGTGGTTGCTGCTGCACGCAATGTTGATGGTGAACAGATCAAAACACTGACAGAATCCATGGATGGCAGGCTTTTGAGTGTCCTTGCAAAGAAAGGTGGCTATATTGGTCGCTGATTTGTTTTTGTTTTGTTTTTGAATGTCAGAAATGTATATTTGTGAATGTGGAGATGTTATATTGGTTTCACTGGTAAAAATAAATAATTGAAATGGGTATATATTTGTTTTTTGTTAAGTTGCCTAATAATTATGCACAGTAATAGTCACCTGCACACACAGATATCCCCCTAAAATAGCTAAAACTAAAAACAAACTAAAAACTACTTCCAAAAACATTCAGCTTTGATATTAATGAGTTTTTTGGGTTCATTGAGAACATGGTTGTTGTTCAATAATAAAATTATTCCTCAAAAATATAACTTGCCTAATAATTCTGCACTCCCTGTAAGTCTTAACCTCTGTTTTACTGTTTGTTTGTTTTTTTGTTGTTTTTTTTTTTTTTATCATTCAATAAAAAAATTGTGAGCTCATTTGAGTGGCTGTAGTTTGTGGTGGAACTTTCACTGTGTTGTAATCAAAAGTGTGTCAGATAATTTGTCTGTTCCATTTCTGTCATTGAAATAAGGTTGTGAGTTAAAAGAGCAGCTAGAAACTGTCCTCACAACATTCCAACGAAATTCTGCTTATTGTAGATAAGATGGCTCAGAGGACCTGTAAGTGTTTTATATGTGAATGAAGACAACCTTGTTTATTATCCCTCTTAGGTTTTAACAGATTATTTCAAGTATAGTTCAAATGTGATTGACATTACATAGTAGTGTGCTAGTTGTATCAAACACAGCAGCTTTGACAAGCTTGTAAACTCTTGTTGAAGTTGCCTTTCATTCTGAAAACAGTTACATACAATTAAAACGATTTAACAAAAAAAATGACAAAGCTCCGTTCTCGCTGAGTAGAGGGCTTTGGGTTTTTGTCAGTTCAGTTTGAATGGTGTGCTCTGGGTTTTTCATAATCTGTCTTGTCTTATGAAACGTTGTCTTCTCTTTTGGTTTGGTTCACAGTGGCCTGGCAGTACATGGTGGCTCACTGAGGAGGAAGGGGGAAGTCCCAGTGGCTTTTGGTTGGTGGGCTCTGCCCTTGGTTGCCACAGTAATAGGCGACCATGCCAGGGGGTCGCAGGGGTCCCAGCAGACAGCAGCTAAGTCGCTCCGCTCTGCCGTCCCTGCAGACTCTGGTCGGAGGAAACGTCGGGAATGGTACAGGCCTCAGGAACAGGTATGTATACAGAGAGCCTCTCAGTGCTGTCAAGATGCAGTAATAAAGAGGTTTTGATTCATTAATGCATTTAAAGCAGGAATGGACTGATTGAGAAATTCTGAGCCAATTCACAATATAGAACTTCTTTTTTCTTGTATTATGTCAACTTTCTGTGTGAGGTGAAAGTCAGAAATCTTGATGATACATGATTCATGTGTCATCAAGATTTCTGAATCATTTTCATCTAAATGAGACATTTACTATGAATCATCACACTGTCTTTTAACCTGTGATGCACATGAACATTGGCCACTGACAGCTTCTTTACAAGGCCACTAAAGAATAATTTTGAAGGTCAAATTTCGATTCAGAAATTCACTGCAACTGTTATTTTTGTATGTTTGCTATTATTGTGCTTTGAGCAAAACATTTGTTGTAATGTAGACAAACCAACGATCAACTTATAGGATCTTGGATTGTTGCCCCCCGACGAGGGATGGGTATTGATAAGATTTTCACGATTCCGATTCCATTTATGATTCTGTTTAACGATTCGATTCTTTATCGATTCTTATTTTTAAAAAAGGAGAACACTAAGGTCGATTAGCTTAGCGCTTTGTTTTATATCGTCTCTTTGAACAAGATAGAAATTTAGGAGTAACATGGCCTTACAAACCCAACAGTGAGATCTTAAGAGATCCAGCCTACGGCTCTTCAATGGGGTGTCACAGGGTCCCCAGGAAAAAAAATTGTAAATGTAAAATAAATATTCTTTTGTAGCAATAACAAAGTGTAACATAAATTATTTGTAGCAATTATACAAGAATATCCAGTAATGTCCCTGCCTACAATTAAACACATTCATTTACCGAAAATCGGGGGCATCTGCTGTGGCAAATGGGTGCAAGCGTTTTATCACAAACTGAGTCACTGCTCGGTGACATTCGTCTATCCTGGCCGGAAAGGGGACGCTACCGGTAGACTGCAGCGACAACTGCCAGCATCTGAGCCAGCCAGACTCTGTCTCTCTCATCATGGTCACCTAAATGCGCAGTAATGGCAGGTTTTGTAATAAGGCAGATCGCGCTAACATAATATGCACTGTTAGTTTACCTGCCGCATTAACGGGAGAGGACGTGCAAACGTTACCGCTGCTGCTGGGTTGAGATTCACGAGTCCGCAGCGGAATTAAAAACACGACATTCATTTAAAGTTATCGTGTGTTTTGTGAGCAAATGCTTTTGCATATTCGTAGTGTTTCCTCCCTTAAATGAAATCTCTACTTTTCAAGTATTGCAAGTTGTCCTGTTGTCACCCGTTCTCGTAAAGTATAACCAAACTTTTGAGGGTTTGAGACGCTTAGGCGCCGTGTTTCCTGCCAGGTAAATGACGCTCCGCAACGTGGTGATGTCATTCAGGGCGACTGGAATCGATAAGGGAATCGTTTGCAAAAATGGCAAACAATTCCAAGGAATTGAAACAGTGGGAACCGGTTCTCAACAAGAACCGGTTTTCGATACCCATCCCTACCCCCGACTAGTTGGTGATCACAAGGAGGTTACAAGGAATGAGTTCACCTGGCTGCAGCCAAAAAAACCAACCACTTGTTGCCAGGGTGTTGTAGACTAGTCTCCACATCCCACTTTGTTTGCATACACACCTTGCAGTAGGTGTCACATTTTTAATCACACACCCAGAAGTGTTTGAGTATTTATATTTCTCTCTCTCTCCTTGTGTTGCGTCCTTTCTTTGTTCTCTTTTTCCCTCCAGGAGCAGTAACACGCTGGGTCTATCTGCTCCACCCATCTCAGCCCTCATTACTCCGGAGCCAGTGCGTCACTCGAGGATCCCCGAGCTGCCATTGGACAGCAGTCTGCTGTTTGAGTTCCTGCTTTTTCTCTATTTGCTGGTGGCCTTGTTTGTCCAGTACATAAACATCTACAGGACAGTGTGGTGGTACCCATACAGCCACCCTGCTGCCTCTACCTCACTCGTAAGGACACTTAACACACTCTTTTTCCCACCAGTTCCCTCAGTAGTCCTAAAAAATAGGTCATCATTTCAGTTTTCTGTTATCACAGTTTTAAAACTGTAAGTAAAACTGCATCAATATGTTGCTGTCTTTCCCCAACTCATAACATGCCACTTTCTTATTAAGAGGTTTAATTTAATAAGCAACAATTTCTCTGTGGAGAAACAAACCCCTATCTTTTTATCTTCCCACAACAGAACTTTCATTTAATGGACTACCACCTGGCTATCTTCATCACAGTAATGCTGGCCAGGAGGCTCGTTTGGACAATTGTTTCTGAGGTAAACACAGATTCGATCTCTGTAAGCAGTCAGCAAGCACACTGTAGGGACCTGATCCCTCATGATGTCAGTGTGGCTGCCGTGCTCTCATAACGGCGTGTTGTTCTGCTTCTGTCTCGCCCAGGTGTCTCAGTGCAGCGGGGGGTCTCTGCTGCGCTACGTGCTTCTAATCGCAGCTCGACTCAGCCTGCTGACCCTGTGCGGCTGGGTGCTGTGCTGGACGCTGGTCAACCTCTACAAGGAAAACTCTGTTCTTAACCTCCTCTTCCTGGGATATCCGTGAGTGTTTGGTCCACTTCACTCTCTAAAGGCCAGTCTACCACTGAATAAGTTGTCTCAAAGCAAAGTATTTCTAAGTGTCTTTTTTTCCTGCTTGCTTTGGCATCAAATTCTAAAAGACATTTTTCTGATTGGACTGTGTAAAAGTAAAAACCTTGCTCGCATACACGGTTTATGGCTGCAGCAGTGGGGAAAAATCCTAAACTTAAAAGCATTGGAAAAGGAATAATTTGGCTACTATACATTTTCTAGCCATTAACCAGATATTTTTTAAAGGAAATGGTTCAGATAGCTGTAAGTTTATGTAGACATTGTATTTACCATCTCATCTTCATCTGAAGGTAAAAACAAAATGCTTTTGTGTCATTTATTTATTTTTCATCCCCAGATTCGGTGTTTATGTCCCACTCTGCTGTTTCCATCAAGAGGGAGGGAAAAGCCAGGTGGCACCAGCCGATTGTGATTACACAGCTGACCACCAGCAGACCGACCTAACAGAAACCCCCTTCTTCCGACCACGCGACTTCCTCTTCCTATTACGAGAGAACCTCAGAGAGCAGTTTTCCAGCCCCCCACACACGCCCACACACACCTGCCCGCCACCCACACACTCTCACACACCAGAGCTGATTCGAGCAGAGGTGGAGGAGCTGAAGAGCGACTTCAACCGGCGAATCAAGGAAGTGCTTTTCAACTCGCTCTTCAGCGCTTACTACGTAGCCTTTCTGCCCCTCTGCTTCGTTGAGGTGGGTGTTTCACTTGCGTCTCTTTCTCTGTCATAAATTCCCGACCTTTCGCGTTGCGTAGGGTTGCTTCTGGTTTCTTACTCGTTCTTCTTGCTCCTACAGAGCACCCAGTACTATGACATGCGGTGGTCATGTGAGCATCTCATCATGGTGTGGATCAATGCATTCGTGATGCTGATGAGCCAGCTGCTGCCCCCCAGTTACTGCGACCTGCTTCATCGCTCGGCGGCTCACCTCGGCCGCTGGCAGAAGCTGGAGCACGGCTCATACAGTAACACACCTCAACACATGTGAGTGTCCCAGTGTGCGCACACTCTGGTGTACTTAGACAAGTTTAGAAATGTCTATTTAATAGGTTATGTATAACTGTGGTGTTAATGTTTTGCAGGTGGTCAGAAAGCACCATTTGGCCTCAGGGGGTGTTAGTACGACATAGTCGAAGTCTGTATAAGGCGGTCGGTCCCTATAATGTGGCTCTCCCCTCTGATGTTTCCCATGCAAGATTTTATGTGAGTACCTGTGAATTTCCCATATTAACTACGCTGATGTTCACCATTTTTCAGTTTATAGTTTTGGTCCTTATTCCCTTCTGATCTCTAATAAAATGTTTTTCAAATGTGTTCAGAAATGAGGAAAAAACAAACAAAAAACATCAGCTCTGGTGGAACTGCCTTCCTTATTATGTAGTCACTGCTCTGTGCTGTTCAGCAGTGTCCCTCTTGCAGCAGTATTTGATTACTTGCAAGCATTAGAAGAGTACTAGCTTATCGCCACTGAAGGCAGGTTTAGGTACAGACACACCCAAGCCTATTCATGATTCCTGGGAAACCTCCTCCCTCCAACTGAGGCGTGTTTACGTGTGATTATGAAAATTCAGTTGCAGAGTGTCACAAAGAGGTGGCGCTTTCCTCACAAAAACTTTGACTTGTGTTGATTTCTTGTACAAAACTTCATGTTATAGATCAAAGAGAAGATCTGAAATTGGTTCAACTCTAATTTTTCAGTTATTGTTTGCTCGGTGATTATTTTTTGCAGTCTTCTGTTTGATCTGTGATTATGATCAACATTCAGCAGGTTAGTCTAGTGTTAACTCGGTCAATGTCTTTTAGGAGAAACATAACTGGTATGTATAACGTTTTCAGCTCCAGTGAATTCAAGCACTTTATTTACATGTTGCCAAGGTAAATTACCGTATTGGAGCTATTTTCTGTGTATTTGTGTGAGCGTGAACGGACCTTAATTCTGATCAGCTGATTGGGCTTTGTGTTTTTGTGTGGGCAGTGATGATGTGTTTGGAAATAAGAGAAAGGACGGGTCACAGTACTCATAAACTAAGCACAACCTCATGCTGCCTTTATTGAAACGGGACATTAGAGCTTTACCAATTAAAATGAGATTTTTCCTACTTGTTTCTGCCGAGTGGACGAAATTAGAATTGTGTTTGTTTTTGCTGTGTTGTGTTGGTATGTGTCGGGCTGTGAGCTGAAAAGCTACAGCCGGCTGTAAGCGTCAGCAACCGTGTGTGAAAAGTGGTCAATAAAGAGATGCTGAAAAGCATGTTCATGCAAACATCGTCGGGTCTGGCGTGACTTCTGGTCCCGAACCTCTGCGCACAGCATCTGCAAATCGGGGCTTTCACCTTTACGCAGGACTGTAAGCTGTCATCTGTGAGGCGTGAGCGGTGTTTGTTTTTAACATAGTCCACGGTTGAGAATAGCTGCTGACATAATGTGGATCCGAAGATCCATAATTGGCCTACCTGGGGTTGAAAGTCTCGATAAATGCACGCCGTTTTGGCGGGTAAACCGGCTTCCGCGAGTGTGACGCTTATTTTGAGCGATGAAAAAATAATAGAATGTAATTTTATTATTTTATTTCAATATCACAATAATCTTCGAATTTAGAACTTAAGTTAAAAAAGAACTAACATAAATAAAATACACTTCAGCTAAATACTTCTAATTTATTTTCCCAAACCAGGCGGAGCCGCAGTATAAGGACTAAAGAGCCGCAGGTTACCGAGCCCTGGTATGAATGTTTGGGCTGGGGTTTGAAAATCAAGCTGTTTGAATGGTTCAGACAGAAGGGTCCACAGTAACACTAATGATGGTTTGGGCTCTTACCTGTCAGCAAAAACAAGATTTGACATCACTGCTGCGTCCATCATGTAGCTCTTCACTGAGTCTGCACCCCAGATGTTTAGAACAGAGCTCCACGTGGCCCATTTCTAAACACAAACTACTGCAACAAGTGAATAAAGTGAGTAAAGTACGAGTTTCCTCAGAGGCTAATGCACTGTGTTCAGACTGCCGGTACAGAAGCGCTGATGTCTGGCCCTTCTCACTCAGTGATAGAGTTGAGCTAGCATCTTTACTTCTCGCTGACTCTGAAGCCGAGCTTCAAAAAATCATCAGCCTGTGGTCAAGCACAGCGGCAAAATTTGTGTGGCTGCTCAACCACAGATATTGTCTTTAAACAGATATTGGAGAAGAAAAACATGCAGTAAGATGTGATCTTTAATGGGATTCCCTGAAACAGCTGGATTCACACATCGGTGAAGTCATTAGGAAGCTGCTCGGCGGCTGGTTGTGCCCAACATTTCTGAGTATTTATTTACCGCCGCCCCCTCTGAGTGTCCTGGCTGTCTCCCACAGTCCACAGCAGGTCAAGTTGTCTGCCACACTAACCTGCTAAGTGTCCATACATGTGTACTCTATTCAGTCTTTTTTGTTTTGTTTTGTTTTTGCTTTCCCACCCCACAAAGCTATAGCCAATCCTGGGCACTTTGACAGAAACCCACACTCTCTCACATTCACATAAGCAGCCAGTTTAAATTTAACAGTTAACCTTCCTGTCTTTGGAGTGTGGGAGGAAACCTGTGCAGGCACGGTGTTAACAGGGGAACTCCAACCAGAAAGGCTCCAGTCCATCAGCAGGTTTCCAGAACTTTCTTGCTGTGAGGCAGCAGCGCTAACCACTGCACATATTGAATTTTTTATTTTATTTTATTTTTTAAATCTATGACACTCTGTCATTTTTTCCCCCCGTTCTTTGTGTCTGTTTGGCTTCCAGTTCCTGTTCCACAAGCCGCTGCGGATCTTGAACCTGCTGATCTGGATCGAGTCCAGCGTGGTTTTGTACCAGTTATACTCTCTGCTGCGCTCTGAGCGCTGGAACCACACATTGTCTCTGGGCCTTATTCTCTTCTGCAACTACTATGTCCTCTTCAAACTACTCCGAGACCGCATCGTGCTGGGCAAAGCCTATTCCTACCCTCTGTCCTCCAACAGTTTGGGGCTCAAGTCGCAGTAAAGACTACACGGCGAGGCCTCTCCTACAAACTCTGGACGCGGAGGCGAGACAGATGGAGGCCTGATGGAAGTGGAAGGCGCTTGGAGATTAAGGGACAGACTTTAAACTCATAATTGTGTTTTGATACGGTTCAATTTTTAATGCAGTGTTTATATATAGACCTATTTAAAAGAATATTTTTATTTTGTATACTATTTCGAGTTACACCGGGCATTACCACGCTCATGTCATTAGCATGTTGTGTTATGTTGTTGCTAGGTGACAGGGAAGTCAGGGAATGCCAGGAAGTGACTTTTCACCAAAGATATTTTAAGTGCAGGCGGCCAATGACGGCGCAGACTTTGCCTTTGACAGTCTGTTAAAACAGGCGTTCGATTCAGAGCAGAGGGAGGTTTCATGCTTGGGTCCTGATTGTCCTTTATTCTGCTTCAGTCTTAAATCTGGACCCAGTCGTTTCTGGGGGCATCAGCACGATTCCTTCATTTCAGTATTGGTGCAGCTCTTCGTCTCTAAAAGGAATAATTTGGGATTTTTGGGAAATGTGCTTATTGTCTTTTGATCAAAGTTATACACTCAATCTGTTAACATTAGCAAATGCAAGAAAAATGGCTAGTCTGACAAATGTTTACCGTACCTTTTCATACCTGGGAGTCAAATCCTGCTGTTCTGCTACAAGTCTCTGCCGTCACAAAGATGCACATTAGTAAACTGCTTGTGTTTTGTCCTCCCCCTTTTGTTTTTATTTACTTGGGGATTGGCCATTTTTCATGATTTGGGTTAAATGTCCCTTTGCAAAGTTAGCTCTCTAAAGAAAAGCAACACTTAAAGGTTCCTAGTGTGTTTAAATTTAAACACCAAGGGCTCCTGTACAGGCGTCGGTGTTAGATATATCACTGTTTCCACTGCTGCAACCTCTGTAGTGACCCTAAAGGACTCTTTTTGTTTATATCTCTGAGATGGCTTTAACATAATGGCAGAATCTGATTCCCTGTGTGTGAAACCTTTTTTTTTATTTTTATATTTATTTATTTAATTGAAACAAAAGTCAAAGGGTAAAAATAAATCTGTCCAGTCGGTACATGTGAAACATGTTCATATTAATGAGCTTTAGGGGGTCATTGTAGGTAATTTTAGTGATCTTTGGTTTGTGCAGGATTGGCTGTTCCACTGTATAAATACTTAAACCTACGTTAAAAAGTCAGCTGAAGCTACTATCGAGGCAAGAGTGTGATATGAATCTTATTATCTAAATGTAAAAGGATGAGAACATTTCCTAAGAGTAAGTATTCCTTTAAGCAAAGTCTCAGTCTGTTATTTTTTTACTCAAAGTCCAATAAACTGTTCATGCAAACTGACTCGAGAGCAGTCTGGAAGAAAAACACAGTTGGTACTCCAATCCGCGGCCTCCGCAGACAATGCCGTGTTCTTCTCATTCAGCTTCTAACCACGTTTTCACAGTTAGTATCTGCTTGCTTCGTATCACTGGCTAACTGGAGGGTGGAGTAACAGCACCAGTCTCGAAACAACCTCACAAGCGTCAGACAAAATCTTTTGTCTGGCATCGTTAAACTCACTGCGCACTCATGAAAGTCCAAGTACAGTACTTAAAGTGAGAAAGGCTGCTGCTGTGAGAGGGTGATGCCTGAGCACACTTTCACACACTGAAATCTGGCTACAATACACCATGTTACTTAATGTTCATCCAGTCACTTGAATGTTTCAAGTATGATGGGATATAGGACTGTATCACATCAGGTCTGTCTATTGTGGACTGGAACATCCTTCATCCTCACCCTTGACCCACTGCAAATAAGTCACTGTCACTATGCTCTCATTTAGGTTTGAACGCAGAGGGTGTTTAATAGTGACACTTCAGTGGGGACTGAATGTGTAATCGCAGGGTGTGGACAGACAGCCACCTCAATGCCACTTCATGTATTCTCAGTTACCGGAATGGTGTTACAAACAGGTTGCCTTGTTGCATTGTTGTTGCCTTTCTGTGTAGCTACACTTTGCGGTCATCACCTTACCTGTCAGTAGTTTTGCCTTTATGTTCCTCCACATCTCCATCACCAGCGTCCGTCTGCAGCCAGTGCGTAACTTCAGGCAGTATTAAACTTTAGTTTGACAAAGTGGATTTTTTCCCCCCACATTGCTACCTTTGAGATGAACCAGTGTACATGTGGAGCACACAGGTTTGACAGATCCTCTAATTCACATGTCATACATGTTCTAGTTTGTCTGCAAACGTCTCCCCTTTCTTTGGTGCTTATACTTTGTGGTCACTTTACACTTGAATGTAGCAAAGTCTTGCAGCTGAATTGTGCTGTTGATGTGAATCGGTATTTTTTTTTTTTTCTTTCTTTCTCCGTGCTGTTGCCTTCAGTTGAGCGCCATTGCTGAAATGAGTTTTGAATGGCTCTCATCTTTTAATTTGCCCAGGGTAATTCTGAAATGACACAATTTAACTCTGTAACTCCCGCTTCTGTGGAGAGTCTGCTTTGAATAAAAGCTGAAGAATTGAGATATGAATAGATTCTAAATTTATTACTGCTCTACCCTCTCGACTTTAGTCAACTTGTTGCTCATTTACTTCAAATGGTTTTAAAAAAACATGACACATCCACATATCCACGTTTCCACATTCAGAGTCAGTGATGAACCCGTTGAGTATGTCAGTGCTGGAGAAGTCAAAGGAGCTGGTCCTCATATTTCGGCTTTTTACAGTGTTCAGGTTCCCCACAGCATTTCTGATTTTTTTTTTTTTTTTGAAATTTTTTTTTTTGAAATTTTTTTTATTTTATTTTGAAATTGGAAATAAAAACAACTTGTCGAACCAACGTTGTGTTTGTTTTAATTTGTCTTGTGAGCGGACTGGGATAAAAATAGAAGACACTTGCCTTATTTCAAAGCATATATTTCATTAAATCTGACAGATTTCTGGTTTCTTCAGAAACGTCACAAATAGGTAAAAAGTGCTTATGTAGGCCTACACTAACTTGGGATGCCATCATGTTCATGTGGACACCTGCAGTGTTCTTATGTGGTCAGCAGATGGCGCTTGGCAATAAGAAACAACACTCCACAAACTGCTTCATTTACCAAGTAATCTGCAGACTTGCAAAAGTCCTGAAATATCAACCCCTGCAAAACGCTTCCACCACGCCTCCCACTGTAAATAAAGCGTGCTATGCTTGTAGATAACTACTGTTTCCACTGAGAGGTTTGGAAGGAAACAGTTGGCAACTTTGGTAGCTGACTTGTACATTCATTCACAAATATAAATTTCAGTAGAGAAAACAGTGCAATCTTTAGTATTAGCTCAGTTAAAATGCTGCAGTGTCTAGATAAACAGTTTCTCTGGTCCCACCCCATCAGTCCATGTTTCAGATTAAATGAGTCCAAATAAAACTTGGTTATCCTGATAAATGTTCTAAAAGGGAGAAAAAGACTTTCTTGATATCAAAAACTAAGCAAAGGCACAAATTAAAGTGGCCCATTTGTCATGTCATTACTGGATCTGAGTCTCGTCGGCGTGTAGATATTGGCATATTTATGTTAACATATCAGTGCAGTGGGGTTGAAAAGTGTGGCTCCTGTTATGCCAAAGGGATTTGTGGCTGTGGTTTTACACCCCTTGTGTGGTCCTCATGTTTTTGTTTTCACCCCTCCCTACAGTCCATGAAGTTTCCTTTTATCCAGTAGCAGATCTGAGCATATTTCAGAGGCGTGATTCTCACCGCTACATTAAATTCCTGGGACGCACCTTGTCGCTCCACCCACTGATGCCCAGAAAACACACCTATCACCTTCCGCTCCCAGCGTCGGCGCCGACCATCCCACATCCGCGCGTAGACTCCCGAGCCGCTAGCCCCGGGTTGAGCGTCGCAGTGCTGGTACAACAGGTCTGAAGTCTCCTCGCCGGCACGACAGAACCGATACACCAGCTGTCCTGGCCGGTCGTTATCGAATCCTGAGAAGTGGACTCGGCGACCAGGCAGTCCCTGAGCGGGGGGGCTGACTCCCAGCTTCATGTGGCGCCGTTTGTGGGGTTTCTTGAGTTCAAGCAAAGCATAGTCATAGTCCATTCCTATGTCATTAGCATTCCCTTTTATCCAGCCTTTGGGAACATGGGTGCGCTTGGCTCTGATCCACTGGAACTTCATTATGTCACTGGTAGGTGGTGCGTAGGGACTCGGACCTCCTTCAACATGGTTGGTGAAGTTGGAGAGAAGGTGGAAGGAAGACTGTTGTGTGTCTCGTTGCTTAGGTTTTAAAAAGCCAACCCGGAGCCTCTGAGCTCCTTTCACATAGTTTTTACCATCGTGAACACAATGAGCAGCTGTGAGAACATGACGGTCTCCCACCAGTGTACCAGAACACCCAGTGGACAGTTTGACAGCCACTGAGAATGGATATTTAAGCAAGAAGTCCTGCCCAGCAATACTAAATCGCCCATCGTGGCCAAAGATCTGGCGCTTTCTTCTGACATGTGACCTCTCAGCCTTGCCTGAGGACCCAGTTAAGTAGGCTGGGGTCGTGTTAGAGTTGGGGTTGTAGCCATAGATCCTAATGGCAGTCTCAGTGAGCCGACCATTAGAGTGGAGAGTCTCATATGCCAGGAGACTCCGCAGGTCCCAGTAGCTTGGATGAGGGGCCTTCTTGTGGCATTCGGGGTCACAGGTTGAGGTGACATCCAAGCGGGCCTGAGACAGAAAATGAGGGGCCGGCCGAGCCTCCGTGTGCTGGGGGATGACCACAGGGATACGCTGGAGGACCCACTGAGGGTGAGAGGAGGAGGAGGAGGATGATGAGGAAAACGGGAAAACAGGTAGAAGAAAAAGGAGAACGAGGAGGCCGGTCAACCTGCGGAGAAGAGGCAGGAGAGGTGAGTGAACAGCAGCACTGAAAAGATAAAATTTATCATACCGTGACCGGACGTTCGGACCCCTCAGCAAACATAACTAAAAAACAACATCTAGAATGCATTTCAGATTACATCACTACAGCCGGGAGAGTTTCTTTTTTTTCCAACTTGAAGAATTTTTAACTTCACTGAAATCTGGCAGCCACAATCTTCCACTTAAAAAAATGCAGCCGATACCACGAACAAGGGCAAAGATCAGGCTGCTATGCTCGGATGGAAAATTCCCAAAGTGGCCTGAGGGATTGGCTTAAGCCTGCCAGAGTGGTGGAATAACAATAACAGTGTTACTGCACTAAATACAAGCTCTGTTACTTGTAAATAGGTTCGGGTGACAAAAGCCTTAATTTTGTATTTTAAACACGCTCAGACTTTTCTCTGCCCCCCGCCAGATCAACTACTTGATACACTGCTGTCAGGAACGGTAATAGAAATAAATTTCCATATCTGACTCTTGGCTTAAAAAAAAATCTTTTTTTTTTTTTTTAACTCATAAAATCAGAAGGCTAAATATCTATTTTCAGCACTGGTTTTCTAATTGCCGGCGGTAATTCTTCTTTACAGGTTTATTTCGTTATTTTACAACCTCGCCCTAAGGAGATTTTTCACGGTTCACACCCAGCCCCCCTACCCTCCTATAAACTGGGTGAAACCTGCCCTAGAGGTTGCTTACCGGGGGAGCTCCGCCCGGGAGCGAGGCATTGTCAGGAGTCTCTGCAGGTGAGCTGTTGGCTGAACACCGACAGAGGGGCAAAACGCCTCAAACTAGAGCAGACTGCGCCCTCGATGGAAGCTGTGAAGCGGTGAAGAACTCCTGCTGCGAAAGCAAACCAGCTCTTCTCTCAGCTCTTCACTCAGGGACTGCAGACCTCAGCTGCTGAGCCGTGAATCCAAAAAGGAGTCGACAGCGGACGCGTTGAATCATCGCTGCTGCTGATGCTGTAGGAGGAGGGGCAGGTCTCCTGCCTGCCTGTCTGGAGTCAAGCAGTCACATCCGATGCGGATGGAGTGTAACCACCCGGTCACGTGACTTTTTCTATCACAGGTGCTGGTTACCGTTACGAACTTTCTGCTGCGCGTAAAATCAAATCCAAAAAAGCGTGTGTGCTGTATTTTTGTATCACACGTCGTTTCTGCATCTGGATTCAATATAATCAATAGTTCGATTTTATTCTGTAGAATTTCTGGCAGCGATGATCAAACAGAGAAAAAGACAGACAGTCTGTGACACAATGACATTGTCAGAAAGAAACCCACCAACATGAAACACGCACGTGCTCCGAAAGAGAAAATCGTGGACCCTTTAAAACAAGATGCAAAGAATTAGCAATTAAAATGTTTCTGATCAATAATTGCTTATGAGGAAAACTATCTGGCAAATAAGTGCAATGCTGTTGAAATGATAAAGATCTCAAAATGCAAACTGCTGCTGAAGATGGTCTGCTAAAGAGACTGTAGAGTTTTACCTACTTCAGCAGGTGTGCAGTTGAGATCACCTCAAGAGTTTGAACTTTAATCACACTAAAGATTTTTTTTATTACACTTTATTACACATTTTATTAAAAATGAATCTATCTATCTATTCCCCTCATTCACTTATATTATTTTGCTTTTGGTGTTGAGACCATCTGTCGTGCAACATCTATCGTGGTGCCTACAGAGTAATGTCTGATATCTAAATGTAAAGTCATGTGCATGGTTGCAATTCTATCACGTCGGTAAATTTTGGCCACAGGCAAACTCACTACACTTAGGTTTATAATTTGTTGAACAAAGACACCGTTTCTTTTTTTAGTTTTGATGCAGACGTTGATTCAGAGTACTGAATTTAGAGCTTTTCGCTGTCATTTTAAATTTGAGCTCCAAAGTGATGAGTGAGGCCAAAATAAATCTGTAAGATAGCAGAAACTTTAGGAGTGGCTGGATCAACAATCTGGTGCATTGTTAAAAAGAAGGAATGCACTGACCAGCTCAGCAACACCAAAAATGCCTGAAAAGACACAGAAGACATCTGAAGTGCATCATGATAGAATTACTTCCTTGGCTAAGAAAAGCAACTTCAAAACATCTAACAAAGCCAAGAGCACTCTGTGGGAGGAAGGTGTGATTGTGAAGGTGAAGAGATGCCTTTATGAGTGGAAATGTGCAAAACCATTTAGAGTTTACCAGAAAGCGTCTAAAAGAGCCAGCGCAGTTCTGGAAAAGAAAAATAAACTTCCCCACAGATGAAACCAAGATGAAACTATCACATTACCTGTCAAACATGTGGAGGTAATTTCACGGCTGCCAGTGGACGTGAGTCAGTGGTTAATGATGATGTGGCCGCTGCTTCAACCAGCAGATTGAATTGTGTGATGCAGTTGTTTAATCTCTGCTCTGATTCAGCCACATGATGAAAACCTGATCACAGTGAAAATGGATAATGAACCAAATATATACCACAAAAGCAACCCAAGAGTTTCTTAAGGGGAAAAATGATATTCTTCTCTTATTGACTGAAAATTACTTTCATCCAACTATCAAAAAATCCCATATTTTAAATGATGTTACATTAGCTCATTAATTGAACATCTAAAAAAGTATAAATGTATAAAAATGGCTTTAATTTTTAAACACTTAATGCAAAAGATTTGTGAAATCTCTTAAAATCAAAACTGAAAGCCTGCACTTTCAATAAAAACACATTGATTGTTTGGTTTAAAAGCAATCTGGGTGATGTACAGGGGCAAAACTACCCCCCCAAAAAAGCAATTATGCAAACATAGAAGAAGTAGAACTTATATTTGTGCTAATACTCATCAAATACTACTAATGAAAACATTAAACTTGGCCCACCTGAACCAAGTCGCATGTCATAAAGAGACAGAGAGACGGAAAACTTGCAGAGAGGACTATGACAGAGGAAACTGAAGAGTGTATGTTTGTTGGTGTTTGAGAGAAAAAAACTGAGATACTGCGCATACCTCAACAGACTCACACAAACACTGACCCACATCCATTGTTTAGCTAGGACAACACGACCAGATTCCTTCTCCTCTCTTCTTTCCTGTATCAAACTCAAGTACATCCACAAACACTTGTCAAAAGCATCATTAGATAACTATGTAACACGCATACATCAGTGTTTTGCCTAAACAAACTCTCCGACATGTTGAACTGCGGCGATCAATCTCGTGACTCTTGGCAACAGCCAGCTTCGGGGAAAGGTGTTTATTTCACAATAAAAGTCACGTTTCACATCTTGCAGCTGTGATTTTTTTATTCTTTTTTTTCTCTGTGAAAAGCTTACATTTACTGTATGTTTATAAGCCTCCTTCCATTGTCACTGATGACTCAGAGGAATGAATCTAGTGGGAAGAAACTGCTCCTGATGCAAATGTTGGAAGCCTGCTTGACATTTAAACCACCCATGCTGAATGTGCAAGCTGTTAGTACATGTTATGACTTCATTTGGAGTGAGAGCCACCAGAAAGACTTGGAGAAAGAAAGAACATAACTAGAGGGTAAATGGTGGGATTAGTGCTTCTCTAACCAACCTCCACCCATCCCTGTCTGTTGTGCAGAGCCTTCACAGATAGACTTTGTAATTAAAATCAGTCAGAACTCATTTGTGTTAGTCATGAGAGTGAGGTTAGTTTCTGTTTCTGGAGCCACAGGGGCAAAAAAAAATGAGAACAACAAAAAAAGACCTCAGAACCTCACCTTTTATTTTCCATATAAACTCATCCTCTTTTTCTTCTTCCTCTTGTTCTGAATTAGGAGGTTTATAATGAAAAGTAAAGAAGGCAGATTGTATTAAAGCCTGTGGTAAAAAAAAAAAAAAAAAAAAAAAGCTGCTCACTTGATCTATGACCTCAATAAATACTTTCCCCTTGAGTTTATGTTTCAAGTCGACAGTTTCAGGGCTTATTGAATACAGAATGTCTTTGATTTGCAAACTGTGTCTGAATGAGTTTTTAAAAAGTGAGAATAAAGCAGGTTATACTTTGAGGGTTTACCTAATACCACGTGCTACCATATGTTCAGCTGTTGACTGTAGTTGTGTGTTTGCTTTGCAGTTTGTGTTCACTTCTTACCCAATGCAAGAAAGGAAAGAAAATGCTGAGCCATTGTTGAAGATATCCTGCAGCTGATTAAAGCGCATCACCTTTGCCAAGAAACAGGGCGTACTGGCTGGCTCATCATAAAACTTCTCTGAGTAACAATAACCGCGCCCATCCAACAACACAAATATGCAAAGAAAAGGCACACACATACAAACGAGGCAACAAGTTCAAGGGGGGGAAAAAAATCCAAAAGGGGGTCTTAGAAAGGCTGTTGGGCAACTATGTGGTATTAGACCAGCTTCAGAGAGTGTTGGCATCGATCTTCCAACTCTCTGAAACTCTAAAAACAGCATTCCTCCTTTGGTGATGAAAGCACGGTCTAACACACCAGTGCAAACCTCCCCTGTAGGAGTTTCAGTGGTCTGAGATCTGGTGACTGTGGCATAGAATCACATTATCATACTTGACCCATAGTGCACTATGGATGCGGATTCTTCTCATTAAGACAGAAAAGGCTATCACTCCAGACCAGATCCAGGCCAAGCCAGGGAAATGCATTACGGACACACAGAATCCCCTCACTGTGTGGATCAAGGGTTCAGGTTTTTCATTTTGGTTTCTCACCCTGCTGTAGGTCTCCCTCCCTCTCTCCGTCTCTCTGTGGAACACTGTCTGGAACAGCGGGGTCTCATCCTCCTCCCACTCACCTCTAATCAGCTCCATAGCCTTTCTAGGCTCTGCTTGTTTCTCACACTTTCAAGACTACATTTTCAAAACTGTGCAAATCCACATTAAATGACTTGAAATGAGGAGCACGGGAGCTGAATTCAATTTGGCAAAATGTATGAATTCCGTCTCCAGGATGACAGAAAGGGACGCCTCTTTTTTAAAAAAAAAACGAATGCAAGGTTGCTAATAAAGTTTCTGTTTGTTTTGAATGGTTATGAAAGGGCCCGTTTGTTTGGCTGTGCCTGCTGTTGTCAAGGAAACGAACATTCCCCAGAGTACTGTTCATATTAATTGTTTTATTCCTCCCACTGTCCTCCTCTCGCTTCTGACAGACACAATCAAGCAAGTGTGGAAAGACTCGCAAGTCTGAATTCTGTCCCTTCATGTCCTCGTGTCTCTTTCTGTTTGCTCTGTATGCTCTTTGTATTTTCCCACTCCGAGCCTCTCGAGTTTGAATAATCTCTCCCTTCCTGGACCTCTTCTCTCACTCATCCCTCGTGGCCATGGAACAGCTGTTTGGCAAAATGAGATAACCACAGAGGTTCTTTGAGAAATTATTTGCTGTGAAATCTTGGGGGTGAGTTTAAGACACATATAAAACTCAAGGCAAAGCCAAAAAGGAGATAATGTGACTGTTGGCATGAAACATAATTTATAATTCCTTCTTATAAAAGATGATAAAAACTGGCTTGCTCAGCTGCAGCTAATAGACATCTTCACTGTTCACACCAAGTGCATTCCAGTTATTTTCTGATGAAGACTTCTAATTTCCTGTTTGGAGTCTTTGCTTTCAGAAAAACCACAATTATTGTGTTTGAAAAGCAGTGCCAATAGAGCAACTTTATTCCTAAAGTGGTCGCAGCCTGCTGGCCCTGAAATCATGGTGAACATTCCACATACTGAAAGCAAACTATATAAACTAGTGAACTCGCTCTCATGCACTTTAATGTCGACACTGGGAAATCAACTGTGTAGAAACAGCTGGGTTGATGGGATCTTGCCTGTAAGTAATTTAAAGGGGCCCTATATCCCCTTTTCTTGGACATTGCAATAATAGTTTTATATGTTTCCCAGTCACAGTCTTACTTGCTGTATACTGAGCTTTAGTGCAGCTCCCCAGTTCATCCATTCCAGTTCCTGTCCCACTCTCTTTAAGCCAGCTTTCTTCTGATTGGTTACCCCTCACAAACAAAAGCTTTCCAC